GCTATTATCAGTTGCGGGTTAGGAATGAGGATATCCCGAAGACAACATTTCGTACACGGTATAGACACTATGAGTTCATTGTTATGCCTTTTAGCTTGACTAATGTGCCAGCGGCATTCATGGACTTAATGAACCGCGTCTTTCACGATTACTTGGACCAGTTTGTAGTAGTTTTCGTGGATGACATTCTTGTGTATTCACGATCTCGGGAGGAGCACGAGGTCTATTTAAGTATTGTATTACAGATTTTGCGGGAGCACCGATTGTATGCCAAATATGAGAAATGTGAGTTTTGGCTACAGGAGGTGAAGTTTTTGGGACATGTTGTTTCGGAAGGTGGAGTGTCAGTTGATCCATCAAAGGTTGATGCATTTTTGAATTGGGAGCAACCCAAGAATGTTTTTGAGATCCGGAGTTTCCTTGGCTTGGCGGGTTACTATCGGAGATTTGTGAAAAATTTCTCCCGTTTGGCAGCGTCTATGACCCGTTTGACCCAGAAAGGGATCAAGTTTGCATGGAATGAAGTCCATGAGTCATCTTTTCAGGAATTGAAGAACAGGTTGACAACGGCTCCAATTTTTGTAATACCCAAGCGTGGCTTGGGTTATGTAATCTATTGTGATGTTTCACGTGATGATTTGGGATGTGTGTTGATGCAGGATGGTAGAGTAGTGGCTTATGGGTCTCGACAGTTGAAGACTCACGAGCTTAACTACCCTACTCATGATTTGGAGTTAGCAACAGTTGTATTTGCCTTGAAATATTGGAGACATTACTTGTATGGTGAGAGATTCGAGGTGTACTCGGATCATAAAAGTCTCAAGTACCTTTTCTTGGAGGACTACAATTTTGATTTGTAGCATCATCTGGGCAAGGCAAATGTGGTAGCAGATGCCTTAAGCCGGAAATCTCGTGGGACTCTGGCCTGTTTGGCTATTCGGAAGTGGAAGATGCTTAAGGATTTGACAGAGATGGGATTGCATTGTTTTGATGACGATGTTGATAGTGAGCTAGCATTCTTGTTTAGTCTTGTGGCTCAGCCTACTCTTGTTGTACGAGTGATTGAGTCACAGAGACAGGACTTAGATTTAGATGTCATTCACGCTTTGATCTCCAGTGGTGAGATAGTGAAAGATTGGGCCTTGCATGCAGATGGGGCTCTACGGTTCAGGGGTTTGTTGGTAGTCCCCATATGTTGTCGTGAGGACGTCTTACGGGAGTTTCACACTTCCCGCTTTACAGTTCATCCAGGTGGTACCAAGATGTATCACAATTGGAGACGTCAGTATTGGTGGAATGGGATGAAGAAAGATGTTGTACAGTTTGTGGCTAGATGCCTTACCTGTCGGCAGGTGAAGGCCGAGCATCAGAGACCAACCGGTTTATTGCAACCATTGCTTGTAGCGCAGTGGAAATGGGAACATATCGCTATAGATTTTGTGACAGGTTTTCCAAGGTCACGGAGGGGCAATGAGGCCGTATGGGTCATCATTGACAGATTGACCAAGACAGCTCACTTTTTGCCTATTAAGGCAACAGATGATGCAGAGAAGCTTGGTGTTATTTATGTGAAGGAGATTGTAAGGTTGCATAGAGTTCCAGTAACCATTGTTTCAGATAGGGATGCCAAGTTCACTTCAAAGTTCTGGGAAGGACTTCAAGCAGCGTTTGGCTCAGCATTGCAACTTAGTACGGCATTCCATCCACAGACTGACGGTCAGTCGGAGCGTACTATCCAAATTTTGGAGGATATGCTTTGGGCATGTGTGCTTGACTTGGGTGGTAGTTGGGAGGATCACCTTCCACTTATCGAGTTTGCGTACAACAACAGTTATCAGGCGAGTATCCAGATGGCTCCATTTGAGGCATTGTATGATAGACCTTGTAGGTCTCCTGTTTGTTGGAATGAGGTAGGCGAGACAGCCGCCTTAGGACCTAACATTGTACTCGAGACTACTGAGAAGATTAAATTGATAAGACAGAGGTTACTTACAGCTCAGAGTTGACAGAAGAGTTATGCAGATAAGCGGAGACGACCGTTATCCTTTGAGGTGAGAGACCATGTTTTTCTACGAGTTTCTCCACGGAAGGGATTGATGAGATTCGGGAAAAGTGGCAAGTTGTTGCCACGATTCATTGGACCGTTTGAGATTTTAGACCGTGTAGGAGAGGTTGCCTACAGACTTGCTTTGCCGCCACAGTTGGACAGGGGCCACAATGTTTTCCATGTATCGATGTTACGGAAGAACGAGCCAGATCCATCTCACATTTTTGAGTTGGGTTGATGTAGACATTGATGAGGATGTTTCCTACGAGGAAGGACCAGTTCAGATTCTTGACACACAACAGAAGGTGTTGAGGAACAAGACGATACCAATGGTGAAAGTCCTTTGGAGACACCACGGAGTCGAGGAGGCTACTTTGGAGCTCGAACAGGAGGTTCACTCCAAGTATCCAGAGTTGTTTTCTCCAATAGGTATGGCTTGATTTCGGGGACGAAATCTTTTTTAAAGTTGGGGAGAATGTAATGTTTTTGACATTTTATATATATATATATATATATATATATATGTTAAAGTTAAATAAAATTTTATATACCTATGGGGCTCACATGAATTATAAGTCAATATAATGACTTAAGAGTCATTACAGACTCATTGTTCTCTTCCTCTCTGCGTATCACTTTCTCTCTTGTCCAGTAGCTCCCTTTTCTTTCTTTTTTTTGTTCTTCAAAGCTTCAAGGCTTGATTTCTCCCTCATTTCTTGGCGGATTAAGGTGCCGTTTGAGGCAAAACGAAGCCCACTACAAGCTCTACGCATCCATACGAACAATTCCAGATTTGTTGCCCTCCTTGGAGTTCGAAATTCAAGACCCATTTTAAGGGTTTTGTGCAAATTTGAGGTAGGGACTCTTAATTCCCGTTTTTCTTGCTCCTATGTGAATTACTCCTCCTAAATTGTTGTAAAGCATGCTTGATTATGAATTAATTGTCTTGTGGATGATGTAGATGTTATATGAGAAGTTGTGATTAAATAGGTTATGTGAATTGTAGGTGAACGTGTTTATTTGGTTAATTTCTTATCTAATAGTTGATATAACATGCATATATTGTTGTAAAATTTGTTAGAAATGATATGTGATAGTATGTGTAATTTTTCCTCAATATTTGTAGAGTATTTTCAAATGTGAAATATAAAATCCCTTAATTCTATGGCAATGTGAAAGCAAGACATACATGCATACCACGGGTCATGATTGGGAAGATTGTTTTGAAATGAAAAAGGGGGATTTTGGGAAAGTGTTTGATGAAAAGTGTTTTATGAAAACCCGGTCGCCGCGAGGGTACCAAAAGGCCGGAGTGTTAATATGGCCTAGAGGGAACTAGGAAGTCGCCCTAGCGTGGTTGAGCTAGCTGGGCCCCATAATGACGCCACGGGGGTACCAAGGGTCAGGAACACTAGCCAATCCTTCTCTCGTGTCGTTGCGGGGTCACCAAAGGGCGGGTTATATTAACAGTTTGAAAGTAATGATTTTTGAGATGTGAAAATGGGGAGCGACATCGACATGCATTGCATTCCCATTACATTATATTGTTTATATTTGAGTTGATTGTTATGTGATATGATCCCGGTATAGTATGACCCCCATTCCCATTGCTCTATTCTTTGGTTGAATTCACAAGGACACAAGATGCGTATCTTAAGTGCTACCTACTGAGCTTTATGCTCACCCTATTATTTAATAAAAAAAAATTAGGAAACGGGAAAGAAGTGGCGGATGACTTTCCACCACAGGCCTAATTTGGATTAGAAAACTTTTTTGCTATTTTTGTATTAAGTCCCATATTTTTGTAAAATCTTAGTTTGTTATATTCGGTATAGAAGTTTGTGGACTCTTGTTATTATAATTATACCTATGGGCTATAATTTTTGTACGAGCTGTCTAAATGTTGTAAAATATGGACATTTGATATTAATCTTGTATGTTGGGACTGTAACTATGTTATCTGGATGATATAGTATGTGGTTGTACCACTATAGAATGAACTAAGTTAAAGCATTATGAATGGATGAAAGAGATGTTGGAATGTATTATATGTTTATTGTGCTGGGACAGGTTAAAAATGCATTTAAACAGGTTGTGGTAGGACCATATTTAGGGGGGTCATGCTAAATTTTTTTTTGTTAAAATGGTATCAGTTTAGGGTCGTTAAGTTCATAAATCAAACTTCTATATGAAGCTCCTAAGGTAATTTCATTTCATAAATCAAGTTTCACACTTAATCTTTTTTATATTCAAGTTACAGTTGGATTGGTTGTATTTGTTAATAATAATAATATAAATTGGGTATGAGTTGGATTTGATTTAAGAAATGTCTTTGCTCAAACCTAATTCAAATTGAGATTAGTTTTTAAAATTTTAAACCTATTCAAGGGGATTGGGGTAAAAAAAATTAAAAAAAAAAAAATCATTAACTTAGCATTTTTTATATTGTCACTTGTAAAATATTTTCAACCAAAAAAAAAGAACCACCTTATGTTTTACATGCTACAAACTTCAACGTGGTATGTGGTTCTTTTCACGATAATAAATAAATAGAGATTTGTTTAGCCACTTTTAAATATACCCACATATTTTATATCAAGTCACGCATAACAGGAGTGGCAACGAGAGTAAGTGTGAGAATAAGAATACAAAAGCAACAAAATATAAGTCACATAATGGGAGGATGAGCAAACACCACCACCCTTTTAATGAAAATTGTAGGGTAATCACATATCTGCTTCAAAATTTTCACTCCTCGCATCTCTATGTCCATCTTTACTTGGCATTTGGAACTTCATCAGTTAAGGTCATATTTAGAACTTCATTAGTATACAAGTCCTTATTTGGACTGATAGCTGTAACCCTGTTTTGATATTTTCATCTTTCATTCATATACAAGATAGTTTTTTTACCTAAATTCTGGATCAACTCATTTGTCTGATTCAATCAGCCGTTCTTCATAACATAGTAAACCATGCATTTCATCAATAAAGCACTCAAATCTGATACATCTCTTTGCAGTTTTCAATCTCTAATATAACTAACAAATCAAAAAAGGAAGGGAAAAAAAAAAATACAAAGACCTATTCACCCTACTCCTTTATTTTTTTCTTGTACCATTACATGAACAAAATTTTAAACAAAAATATTCCTTCATTCCCAAATCAAGATGCCAAGGTTGTACTTGGGCAGCTATCCACGGTGCAGGCCAATATGTCCCTATAATCGCGAGATATTCTGAAAGAGTCATAAACCTTTCCATCCCTACTCTTCTTGTACTCAAACAACAGGTTCGAATGGTCAAACGCTGTGAGTTTAACAAATCCGTAATCGTAGTCTCTGAAAACACTCCACTTGATCTTGATATTGGAAAATTCTGAAAGGCTTGCACCCCCACCCCCAGCAATAACATGTATTGTCCCATTCAAAGTGCCCTTATAATAGTGCTTCTCTTCATTTGTACAAATATTCTGCAGCCGAAAAGAATAAAATGAAAAATAAGAGTCCAAATGTTACTTACAGAAGTAGAATATCAAACTCGGGCCTGCTGGTTCATCAGATAGCCAATGCATATTCTATATGCAACAGTTAAGAATGTTTTTACTCAAATTAAGGAGGGAAGGACTAAATATGCTGCGAAAGTTGCTAGCACTATGTTCTCTATATCAAAGTTTCAAAATATGAGAGCAACATATACACACAACAGCCAAAATGTTACTCTGGGCTACTGGTTCATCACATAGCCCCTGCATATTTTATATGCAATATTTAAAATGTTTTTTCAAACTAAGTTATGAGAAAGTTAAGTATCCTGCCAAAGTTGCTTGGCATTATGTTCTCTGCATCCGAGTTTAAAAATATTAGATATGTGTGTGTATGTGTGTGATATATTCTCTTTGCTTTTTCCTTTGGGCTTTTGTTTTCATCTTCAAAAAAAAACCCAAGAAAATTGTGTTGGAAAACGTCAATTGTGATTAACTTCAGTTAGGACTTAGCTCACATGTCAACCTCTCTGAGTGATCTATCTCAGCATGATATGTGACTGAGAGAACCTGTTCAAAATGTTGGTTTCACTGTTCTCGCTGATAACAGAGAGAGAGAGAGGGAGCCAGGGAATGGCTTTTCCTTAAAAAATGCTTCCAATTTACTTAAGAGTGTGAGAAATAGACGTTAATCCGTTCATGGAGTTGTAAGAATACCTGGTAGATGGGACAAGTTCTTTCATAATTGTGCACATGGCCAAACATGGCTATGTCAACCTTGTATTTCTGCCAAAGTTTTTGAAGGCTCTCCCGCCCCATTGGTTCCGCAAATGATCCTTCTTCTGCATAATAAGTACCAGAAGAATAACCTAATACCCGATGTGCAAGGAAGATAAGCCATGGTTGCTTTTGTCTATCGACAGTTGCCAGACAGTACTCAATGAACTTATATTGCTCTGTCCCCTCCCTCCAATCATGTTCTGTATCAGCTATGCAGAAACGGAACATGCCATAATCAGTGGAGTACCTGGTAGAGAAAGAAATTGCCTTCAAACATAGTTCCTCACAGGCTCATAGTCTTCAAACAAGTCACAATGCACCGACTCGGGTATGTGTGTTGGGTATGATGTGTCCAAATGTCAATTTATCAAACTTTTCAAAGCCAAAGACATTTAAATAAATATATCCTTCTTTTTATATATTTTTTAATCTCCTTCATTTATTTCTAAGGGTAAAATGTCTTCTCTTGAAACATTAATTGTTCGGCATGGCTCTTCAATCATTTTGAAGTAACAATATAACAAAAGAGCCGTAACTAGAGAGTTGTATGCACAGTTATCTAAAACAACACAACTTTTGATAAGTTCGTGAGGTGTATGTCCAACTAGACATGTCATATACATATCCTATACCCGCGCGAATAATTCGTGTGTCCAGTATAGGTATTTCACTTTTTAGAACATAAAAAACAAATGAAAAAGGAGAATGCATATTGAGATGGATGGATATAAATCTCTCCCAATCTCACTCTGTGTGTTTTTGTATCCTCTTTAATCTTCTTCTTCTTCTTCTTCTTTTTTTTTTTTTTTTTTTTTTTTTTTTTTTTTTTTTTGCGTGCGCGCGTGGGGATGGGGTGAGGTGGGGGTGGTTGAGGAGTGTGGGGATGATGGTGGTGTTATTAGGAGGCAGAAAATGCTTGTGTGGGATTCCTTTAATGGCTATTGCTAGCAAAAGAATACTACTTGTCAATAACCAAGAGAACCAGTGGTGTCTAGAGATAAAAATAAAATTAAAAAAAAAAAAAAACAACAGGAAAACATTATCCACCGTGTTGTATGGTCCTAACTCCCAATTAATCGAGGTACCTACAACTAACAGGAATAGCGAAAAAATACGATAATGGATCTTAGTTCAAGTACTCATGATACCCTCGCAACTCATAAATCATTCCAAATTAACAAGATCGTACATAATTCCATATGCTTCATGAAAACTGAATCTATTATTAACGTTAAATTCAGTAGAGCAAATTTTAAAATTATCCAGATTAAAAAGAATTTGACAAACTGCAAATATATCATATACTAAGATACCAAACCAAAATAGATCTAACAAATTCTGTTAGCAATGTCCCCATACCAGAATTTAGCTCTGTTCTCAGTAGGAACATAAAACATAGTCTCAGCCAATACGCCACATTCTCCTCCTGAATCCATGTTGCCATAGAAGGATCCTGTTCCGGGCCAGTCACGCTCGTGGTTCCCGCTGCAAGCAAAAATGGTCAATCGCCACATAAGATATATTTGAAGATGAGCATATGCTTCAACAAGTACCTGAAATGTTGCAACAAACCTTGCAATCATGTAAGGTACAGTTGAGGCAATTAGTTCAATTTGGGACGTAAACTGATCCCACTGTGACAGATATCCATTTGCATAACAAATGTCTCCAATGTGGAACACTATATCAATGTCTTTTAAGTCCTCAATAAGCTGCTTGGTAGTGTTAAGAGAGCCACGTTGGAAATTGTTGTACTCGTTGGAGCCATCAGCCTCATCCTGTATGGGTAGAAAAGGAAAAGTGTACTTCATAAACAACAGGTATGTAGGTATAAGGGATTAGAATTCATTTTAGATAAAAACTTAACGATATGGATATACAGTATAATAAATCTCTAACCATCATAGTATTTACTCTTTAGGTAGATACAGAATGGAATTCAGAAGTTGACTCTGTATGGCAGGTAGCTAACCCAAAATAAAGGCCTCCCCTATCCTTTAAATCCTGATGACTTTCCAGGTTTCTTTTATAAATCTTGTTGGCTTTCTAGTAAGCAAAAAGAGTTGTAACGAGGTTGAATATCCTGTCTTCAAGAATGGTGTTCACTACCCTCCCATCCATCAACATATCGGCTTCAAGAGGCCGATGCTTCTCACATTCATAAAAAAGAGCCCCTATGGCTCTGGTTCTAGTGACAGTGATGAAAGTATAGCTGCCACTGTACATCTTTCTTTCAAAAGACGAGAACATGTCCGCCAAAAGCAGGAGTTTTTTATATACCAGCCTTCCTTTAAAACTGGATTATATAGGCTTAGATAAGTTTTAAAGAAAAAAAAATAAATAAATAAGGCTAGTATTCTTGTTTAGTTTCATCATTACACAATCTCGTTTTTTTTTTTTTGTTTTTTTTCTTTCAAGTATATCCAAAGAAAGGGATCCTCTGTCTAGAGCCTCAATTCTGTTTATAAACTCGTTGCTTAGGTTCGTACTTTTTGAAAATTGATATCAGTGAAATTATAACATAATCAGGTAAATAATCAAGGTATAAACCTTATTGTGAAATAATATATCATGCTAGAGAAAATCAAAAATCCAAAAAGGTTGTATCATTTTAGGAGAACTAGTAGGTTTATGACTCCATGAAAAATCTACAAAATAAACTATAATGTCCAGTGATAATGATTTCTTACCTAACTAGAGGGGAAAAAACAAGGAAAAAAAAGAGGCTGATATATAAAATTAATGGAAAAGTATATCAACCAGTTATTAAATCATAATCATCATCACGAATTAAAGAAAGAAAAAAAAAATGTGCTTGTTCTAATATGCATAATAAAATCTTCCAAAAGAGTTCAAACCTTTCCCATATCACCAAAAATGACTACGCGTTGTACAGAATTTTGACCAGGATAAGGAGATGCTCTAAACTGGTACATCTGACTCCAGATATATGTACCATTGAACAATTTATGGCCCAGTTTGTAGGTATACCTGAAAATCAGTGAGAAGAGTATGTCAAGGAAGCAGCAATTACAATTTTGTAGCCAACTGCAGAGCTTCTCAGTGTTAATCCAATGCTTGAAACTCTGTATCTTAATTCCAACTCATCTTGTGAAAGGAATTATGTAAATTTATTAAATCCATTTAAAGAGAACCATTAATCTAGAAAAGAAAGAAAAAGTTAACCACATTAGCTTCGTCAGTATATATATCCCATGATAAATAGTCTATCAATATATCCTGACTCTACCAAGATCAATTTATGAGGGCATTTCCATATTAAACCATAATTTACTTCATGTTTCTATCAGGATTGACAATAACGTATGGATATCGGGTGTCCCAAATGACATTGGTCAATTATTTAATTTTGGACAAACCAAAAATTTACTGATATTGTTCAGGAAAAAAAAAAAATATTGATATTGTAATAATTCATAAATGAGACAGTAGATGTGTTTTCCTTTATGCACCATAATAACTGTCTCTTGTTTCCCATTTTCTGTTTAATAACTCATGTTAACTGAAATTTCATCAGCGAAATTTGTTTACAAAGGTTTAGATGAATAACAAATGAAAATTGGATTTTTTTTTTTTTTTTTGGTATAAAAATGGGGGTTGGAAGAAAGAATTTCCGCAATTTTGGGAAATTTTCCAAGATTTTGGTCGAAATTTAATAGATCTACAATCATTATTATACACTAGCAGCAAATACAACATACTTTGAGTTGGGCCACAACTCCTTCAGAAAACTAGTGTGTATGAATCCAGGATCACGCCAACCCACTGTTCTTGCTGGTGCCCCTGCACGTAAAATTTCAAGATGAATAATATACAATAAAGAAGTTACTGTGGAAGTCCTTGCTTGATCAAAAGTGTTAAACAAATGAGTAAGCCTCCCGAACACCAATTGTGACTGCAAAGAATACTTGTACATTTGAATGCCAAACACTACATTTCTTGTTTGATCCAATGACGCAACATGCAATTGCTAATTCCAAAAAAATAGCTGTTATGATTACCTCAGCAATAATCCGGCAAATGGGGGATTATTCTGGGCAGGCTAAAATAATAATAAAATATGAAAAAAAAAGACTTCTGTTTGTTGCCTGTGAATCGTCATTGATTAGCCTATTCTGACTGATTTTGATGTACAAGATATTTGCCATAAAAGCATAAATATTGCATATATTTTCTATAAACAATTTGAATTCGTAACATGTACAAGAAACATTATCAATGCAGAAGACAGCATAGAAGGAAAAAAAATGACCACTTATGCCACTGGTAAATGTTGGTTTAGGAACATCTAACAATGACACCAAGAGCAGTAGACTAGCGGTACTTCCACGTAGAAGGTTGAGGCTTCAAGTCCCCATAGGGGAAAAGCAGGTTTGTGAATTTCAACTAGGGGAAAAAAAAAATCATCTAGCAATGACGGTGTTCTCAAGGTTGGTCATACAAGACAATTGTGCTAAAAAAAAATACTAGACAATTTAATACTCAATAGACAGAAACATGTTCAAATGAATTTCAACTCATGATTATTTATTTGGAATAAATGTATAAGATCGTAGCATTTTATATAAGTTGAGATCAAGATGTCCCATTTCACACCAGTAACTCCCAAGTTCTGTTTTTTTTTTTTTGTGGGGGGGGGGGGGGGGGGGGGGTGTTGTTGTAACGCATCAATGAGATGATCATCTTATTTGTCATCCAAATCAACCAATACCCAAGAAATATCTTATCCAAAGACAATTATGAGGAAATTTAAGAAATGGACGCACCACACATGCTGCTGCGATCAAAAGTCAGTGTTCCAGCTGGTGAACGCCTCTGTTCTCCTCCTTGTGGACCCCATTCAACAAAAGATTCTGCTTCATTGATTCCATATCCACTTGTCCATGTTACGGTCATCTGAGTATCAAGTTTGAAAAGGTGAATCTAGTTGAGAGATTGTTATTCCAAAATAAAGTGAAAGCTAATAAGTAAGATTAAGGATGAAGCTGGACATGTATAGGCATTAGGCACAATCTTATGGACAAGTTAGTAGCCTCCTCACCTGTTATAAACAATGAATGAACTTCAAGAACGACAGTAACAGAAATTTAACTTACTTCATTCCATGTCTTTCCTTGTGCCAAGCGTGGGTAAACTGGTGCCTTCGGATTCGAAAAAGCTACTATATTTGACACCGCCACCAGTTTTGGCTGTTTTATTTAAATAAATTAATAACAAGGATTATACCGCATAAAGTTTTTGTCATGTTGAAACAGAAAACAGAATCAGAGTATAATCATAATACAACAATAATTACAGGCAAGCAATTAATTTATCAGCTACTACTTTTAAAAATATTGAATTAGCATAAAGCACACTCCTTTTAGTTCCCGGAAAGAATGATAAGACAACAAGATGCTTTAATAAAGTTTAATTATAAATCTGATTTAGTTGGAAAAAATTAGTTTAACCAACTGGAGAGAGAGAGAGAGAGATAAAAACACATCCAAATATAAGTCACTTGTCCATTATAGTCCATGAAAAAGCAGTTATAAATATTATATCCCAAATAATCAAATACCAAACTTGAACCAGTCAAATAACATTAGAGGACAATACAACAAGCCACACATGACTCAGTGGTTCTCCGCAAATTGATTTATCCAAGACAAATTAATTATCTACATAACTAGAATGATTATATGGTAAGAGTAAAGCAATCACAAGCATACATTTAACAATCCACCGGAGAATAGTGCAAAAGAGAAGTCTGATCTCTGCTTGATCACCTGAAGCTTCAAGAATCCCTTTCCAGAGTCTGTGTAAGTAGGATTAGTATAATTTGCATACTGGAACTGCAAGAGAGGTGCAACAGTTCAACGTTCAAATTTGTCGCCTCTTGATGTGAGCGAAAAGCAGAATATATCATAGAAGAGATTCATGGCGAATATCACAAACCTTAATAGGAGCAGTACACAAAAGTGGAGGATAAACTCTTGGAGTCTCAGGGAGGCAGGTGGAAGCACTAAAAATATTTAAATAGAAATGTTTCCATTAGATCAACACCATCGAATCAAACCAAAGAAAAAATATTACTGGGGAAAAGTTATTTACCTGAAATTGGCAGGTGAAAATACTCCAATCCAATCATCGATTGATGGGTTGGGAATGCTGTACTGTAAACTCACCCATTCTGTATTTTGCCCCTAAACGGAGAATTTTTTTCTTTCCCATCATGTCAATATTAAACATAATTTCTTCGACTTTTAGGATTTTGAATCTTGCCTCTATGAATGACGTTCAGAAATTGGAAAATAAAAATCACTATCAAACAATCAAAAAGCAGTCATTTAAAAGTGGTAGCACCTAGCAGTTATGTGACACACTAATTCATTGGTGTTAATTAGTTTACAGCAATCAAGTAACCGCGTTCCATATACAACAACCAACAGCAAAAGCCTTTTTCACAACTACTTGGGGTCGGTTACATGAATCCTATGTTTCCATTGTACTCTTCCCCTAGTATTACCCTCAATTTGGACTATGTCACTCTTCCTAACTTGCAACTATAAAGCATGAATATTGATATGGAACACCGACATGACAACAATATGGATATGTTTAGGAAGTATCGTACACATATTAGAGTAATTGAGTATCGAAGGAGTGTTGGTATCCGACACAGACAAGTTACGGGTTCATCCCAAGTATTTGTGCTTCATAGATTGGCAATAAAGAAGATTAAAGAAGTTAAAGCTTACCATCAACCCAAGAATTGGAGGAGAGGCTTTCACATAAGCAAGGTCATCTAGAGCAAATACTGCATTATGAACAGCAATTCTCGAGAGAGGCTGATCTCCATGTGTTTTTACCCCTTCAAGGGACCAAAGTATTGCCAACGAAATGAACCCGAAAACTCCCATCCCACCAAAGATCTGAACTCAACCAAAAATAAAATAAAAAAAGTGAGACCTAAAAACATTTCTTCATAGGAAAACAAAAGAAAAATTAACAAATTAGCCTGCAAATCCAATATGAGAAGGAAAGAAGATCTTAATTTTGCATTGCCTTCACAAATAGTTTAAGCCATAAATAGTTAAAAGAAACCAACAGCATAACCTTTCAATTTTTCTAGTCCAAATTTTAGGTGTCTGTACTCCCACTATAACCGAAATTAAACCTAGTTCACAACTGGGAACCTTTTTCTACACAGCAATGCCACCCCACCCACAAATTTATCTAGAAAACAAAAATTGTACATACATAAATTACATAGACATACATATGCGTATATATTTACATTCAGTGTTACTTATTTTGAAAACAAGCACATGAATTGATTGACAAGGTAAGTAAAATCTGAAAAAAATAAAAAATAAAAAATAAAAAAATAAAATAAAATTGGGAATCCAGATAAACTGAAAATTGGCTACTGGGTACTAATATACTGAAAGGAGCTCATATATTATAACTATAACAATACATACAGGAGAGAGAGGGGGTATAAACTGACCTTCAGTAATACTGGGTTGAGAGAGAACTGAGACGAAAATTGAAGTTAAGGTTTGGCAAGTTCAAAGCATTGAAGTTTGTGATGATTTGGAGATGGTAAAATGAACAAGTGCATACAGTACAAAGTGGTTTATTTTCGGAATCATTAAGGACGATTCGACCCCAAGGTTCGTATTTAAAGGAAGGTGATGTTCCGCTCGCAATAATTGATGTAATGGCAAGGGTTGGGTTTCTCTTAAGCTGCTGTTTGTTTGCCAGGAAAAAAAACACAAGAAGTGATATTATTAAATCACTTCTTGTTTTTTGGTAAATAAAACAAACCTATTTTCTTGACCCAAGCGTGAAAGCATTAGATTAAAATGAATGCGCCTGGTCCCACTCGAATTTCCACCGTTACCATTTCCGTAGCAATACTCTTTACGCTCATTCTTTTTCATATTCTAGTTAAGATTTTTTTTTTTTTTTTTTTAAAGTTAAGATTGGATTGGTTGTATTGCTAAATAATAATAATATAAATTGGGTTTGAGTTGGACTTTTTTTTTTGCAACATCTTTGCTCAAACCAAACTCAAAATTGAGATTCGTTGTTAAAATTTTAAACCTATTCAAGGGGTAGGGGTAAAAAAAAAAAAAATTATTCATTAACTCAGCAAATTTTATATATTGACCTGTAAAAGATTTTCAACCCAAAAATAAAAAATACAAAAAATCCAACTTCTGTTTTACATGGTACAAACCTCAAAGTGGTTTGTGGTGCTTTTCACACTGATAAATAAATAGAGATTTGTTTGGAGACTTTTAAATAATTCACATATTTTATATTAAGTCACTCGTAGCGGTATCAAGAGAGCGAAAGCGACAAAATATAAGTCACACAAAGTGAAAACAAAAGCGAGAACACGCACAGAATATGATCCAATTAGAAGAACTGTGTTACTTAGATTTTTCATCCAACCTTCCACTACAAACAGCATGTAGAAAATTGTCCGGGTCACACATATGCTTTAAATTTTTCATTCCTTGTTTCTCTATGTCCATCTTTGCTTAGCATTTGGTCATAATTCACAGTTAAGGTCATATTTAGAACTTCATAAACAAGATGGTTTTTTACCTAAACTTTTTATCAACTCATTTGTCTGATTCTTCAATCAGCTGTTCATCAATTCATAACATAGTAAACCGTACATTTGATCAACAAAGTACTCAAATCTGATATCTATCTCTTTCAGTCTTTAAGCACTAATCTAAACAAGTAAATGAAAAACAAAGACTTATTCAACTTTTTTTCGTTTTTCATTTTTATTTATTTATTTTCTTGTACCGTTACATGGATAAAAAATTTTAAAAAAATTATTCCATCAATCCCAAAATCAAGATGCCAAGGTTGTACTGGCGCAACTATCCACAGTGCAGGCCAATATGTCCCTATAATCGCGAGATATTCTGAAAGAGTCGTAAACCTTTCCATCCCTGCTCTTCTTGTACTCGAACAACAGGTTCGAATGGTCAAATGCTGTGAGTTTAACAAATCCGTAATCGTAGTCTCTGAAAATACTCCAATGGGTTTTGATACTGGTAAATCCTGAAAGGCTTGCACCCCCACCCCCAGCATTAACATGTATCGTCCCATTCAACGTGCCCTTGTAATAGTGCTTCTCTTCATTTGTGCAAATATTCTGTATCCGAAAGAATAAATATTACGAGTAAAAAATAACAGTCAAAATGTTTACTTTTATAAGTAGAAAATCAAACTATGTTCTGTTGGTTCATCAGATAGCCAATTAAGAATGTTTATTCAAATAAAGACGAGGGAAAGACAAGTATGCTGTGAAAGTTGCTAGTTATATGTTCTCTACAACAAAGTTTCAAAATATGGGAGCAACATACACACTCACATTTACGTAACAGCCAAAATGTAACTTATACAAGCATAGTTTTAAACTCTGGGCTACTGGTTCATGACATAGCCAACACATATTTTATATGCAACATTTAGAATGTTGATTCAAATTACGATAATGAGATAGGCAAATATGCTGCCAAATTTATTAGAATTATGTTATCTGTATCTGAGTTTCAAATTGCAGGATATTTAAATATATATTCTCTTTCTATTTGTTCTTTCTTTCTGTCTGGCTATTGTTTTCATCTTCGAAAGCAAACAAAAATGTTGTTTGGAAAACATCGGTTGTGATTAGTTAACTCGAAAATTAACCTGTGTGTGATCTGTTTCAGCATGACATTTGACTCAAAGAACCTCAACTTAGAAATGGATGAAAATTCCATTTTTACTGTTCTTGCTGACAACAGAGTAAGAGCAAAAGAGGAAGAGACAGATTAATAGAGTGAGAGTGAAGAATACAGAGGTTCATTGGTTCATGAAGTTGTAAGAATACCTGATAGATGGGACAAATTCTTTCATAATTGTGCACATGGCCATACATGGCTATGTCAACCTTGTATTTCTGCCAAAGTTTTTGAAGGCTCTCTCGCCCCATCGGTTCTGCAAATGATCCTTCGTCTGCATAAGAAGAATCAGATGAATAACCCAATACCCGATGTGCAAGGAAGATAAGCCATGGTTGCTTTTGTCTATCGGCAGTTGCCAGACAGTGCTCAATGAACTTGTATTGCTCTGTGCCCTCCCTCCAATCATGTTCTGTGTCAGCTATGCAGAAGCGGAACATGCCATAATCAGTGGAGTACCTGGTACAGAAAGAAATTGCCTTCAAACAAAGATCCTCACAGGATCATAGTCTTCAAACAAGTTACGACGCATTGACTCGGGTAAGTGTGTTGGGTATGAATGTGTCCACATGTCAATTTATCAAACTTTTCAAACCTGAGGACTTTTTAAAAAAGAATACCCTTCTTTATATATATATATATATATTGATCTCCATTTATTTCTAAGGGTAAAATGTCTTCTCTTGAAACATTAATGATTCAACATGGCTCTTCAATCACTTTGAAGTAACAGTATAACAAAAGGAACGTAATTAGAGAGTTGAACGCACAATTATATAACAAGGACACTTTTGATGTTTTCATTAGGTGTATGTCCAACAAGACAATACATACACATATTCGTTTGTCCACTATAGGTATTTCGCTTTTTAAATAAGGTCAGTGAAACATAGAAAACAAGTGAACACAGAAAACGCACATTGAGATGGATGGATATAGATCTCTCCCACTCTCACTCTCTGTGGTTTTTATCTTCTTCTTTTTTATTCTTTTTTCTTTTTGGGGGGAAGGGGGAGAGGGTGTTTATTTGGAGGCGGACAATGCTTACATAGGGCTGTAGGATTCCTTTAATGGCTACTTATTGTTAGCAAAAGAAGGCTTCTGGTCAATAAACTGAATCAGTGGTGTCAAGAGATAAAAGGAACAAATAAGGGAGAACATTATCCACCGTGTAATCAGGGGACCTACAACTAGCACAAATAATCAAAAATACGATAATGGAATTTAGTCCAAGTACTCATGATACCCTTGCAATTCATAATTCATTCAATTTAACAAGAACGTACATATTCCATGTGCTTCATGACAATTGACTTTATTCTAAATGCACAGAAATCAGTAGAGCGAACTACAAATTATCCAGATCAAAAAATTACTTGACAAATTCAAATGTCTCATATATGAAGAAATCAAACAGAAATAGATCTAACAAATTTTATAAGCAATGTCCCCCATACCAGAATTTAGCTCTGTTCTCAGTAGGAACATAAAACATAGTCTCAGCCAATACACCACATTCTCCTCCTGAATCCATGTTGCCATAGAAGGATCCCGTTCCAGGCCAGTCACGCTCATGGTTCCCGCTGCAAGCAAAAAAAGGTCAATCGCCACATAAGATATAATTAAAGATGAGCATATGCTCCAACAAGCACCTGAAATATTGCAACAAACCTTGCAATCATGTAAGGCACGGTTGAGGCAATGGGTTCAATTTGGGATGTAAACTGATCCCACTGTGACAGATATCCATTTGCATAACAAATGTCTCCAATGTGGAACACTATATCAATGTTTTTCAAGTCCTCAATAAGCTGTTTAGTAGTGTTAAGAGAGCCACGTTGGAAATTGTTATATTCATTGGAGCCATCAGCCTCATCCTGTTTGGGTAAAAAAGGATCAGAGTACTTCATAAACAGCGGCTATGTAGGTATAAGGAATTAGAATTATTATTTTTTTAAAAACTTAACAATATGGATTTACAGTATATCAAATCTCAAAGCATCATAGCCTTCTTTAGGTAGATACAGAATGAAATTCAGAACTTGTCTCTGTATGGCAGGAAGCTACCAATTTCTTTCAGAAATTACTTTCTTCTCAAGGTTTGGTGCTTGAAAATGAGATCTTGATACCATCCCCTCTCTGGTCACAGAAGAAGATAATAAGATGCTTACAAGCCCTTCTAATATGGAAGAAGTTCAAAAAGGTAGTTTTTAGCATGTCGAAACACACTAACCCAAAATAAAGGCCTTCCCTATCCTTAAAAGCCTGATGGCTTTCTGGAATAAACTATAATGTCCAGTGATAATGATTTTTTTACCTAACAAGGGGGGGGGGGGGGGGGGGGGGGGGGGAGGGGGAGGGAGAGAAAAAGAAAAAGAAAAAAGGCTGATATATAACATTAATGGAAAACTATATCAACCAGTAATTAAATCATAATCATCATCACAAATTAAAGAAAGAAAAAAAAAAAAAGTGCTTGTTCTAATATGCATAATAAAATCTTCCAAAAGAGTTCAAACCTTTCCCATATCACCAAAAATGACTACACGTTGTAGAGAATTTTGACCAGGATAAGGAGATGCCCTAAACTGGTACATCTGACTCCAGATATATGTACCATTGAACAATTTATGCCCCAGTTTGTAGGTATACCTGAAAATCAGTGTGAAGAGTATGTTAAGGAAGCGGCAGTTACAATTTTGTAGCCAACTGCAGAGCTTCTCGGTGTTAATCCAATTATTGAAACTCTGTATCTTAATTCCAACTCATCTTGTGAAAAGAATTATGTAAATTTACTAAATCTATTTAAAGAAAACCATTAATCTAGAAAAGGAAGAAAAAGTTAACCACATTAGCTTCGTCAGTATAGATATCCCGTGATATATATTCTATCAATATATCTCGACTCAACCAAGATCAATTTATGAGGGCATTTCCATATTAAACCATAATTTACTCATGTTTCTATCAGGATTGACAATAACGTATGGATTTCAGGTGTCCCAAATGACATTGGTCAATTATTTAATTTTGGACAAACCAAAAATTTACT